AAGGGTTTACCCTCCGGAGTGAGAGCTTCGAAGGGTTGAAGGGTGCAGGGGACCATACAACTGTTCCTTGATGTGCCCCTCTGCGTCATCATCACGTGCCCACACGGAGGGGCCGTCATCATGCAAATAATCTATGCAAAGGATCATGGGAGCCCGAAGTGTCCATCAGTCGTACCCTTCAAAACCCTTCATTCCGAAGGGCCCTTTGAAGTGGCCAGTTTTGAGCACTTCGGAACGACCCTTCAATATGGCGGCCATGATTGTTTTCACTCCGAAGTGCCCTTCGGAGGGCGATATATCCCGTTTGGAATGCACCGTTTGACTGTGTTAATGAGTGAATCACTGAATCATTTATTCAACCTTTTCATTCAAAAAGCTGATTCATTCAATAAGTTAACACCGTCCATTGCTCATAGACGCAAAACAGTGCTGTGATCTTAGTTTGGAACCGTTTTCATTGGCAAAATTGATCAAAATTAAGCAATATTATGTCTAAAATGTAAGTCACTCATTGCTAACTTTACTGAACTTGTATAAAATGATTATTAAATTTGTTATCATGCTGATATCTGCTGAAAAACGGTAGTCTTTGTGTGATATAGATTAAGTTAACTATATTAAATTATATAAATATAAAAAGCATACAGAAGCATTTTTGCCATCTACAATTTAGAATGCCTTGAAATTTGAGTTTTAATAGACTAATAAAATCACGTGCATGCACTCTGTGTGTGTGATTTGGCGATAGATAATGTCAGATCGCACATCACAACACTTACCATATTATCGCAGAAGATATAATGGGAATAATATAATTAGGAGTCTAACTTGCAAATGCCAGACCACTGATTCGTCAAACCTGCTTTCCTGCAGTCCGTGTTCTTCTGACTTCTGACTTTATTTTGTAGTAAGTAACGAATATGCTTCGGGGAAATGTATCGGAGTAAAAGTATACATTATAATTAGGAAATGTAGTGGAGTAAAAGTTGGCTAAAATATAAAAACTCAAGTAAAGTACAGATACTCCCAAAAAATACTTAAGTACTGTAA